AGGGAGGCAGTGAAGGACAGGAAGGCCTGGCGCAATATGGTTCATGGGGTCACGAAGAGTCGGACACGACTTAACGACTGAACAACAACACAGACAGATTATGTCCACTGCAGGCCAGGTCCACTGTACTGAGGCACATTAAATTGAGGGTTTACTATAATATACAAAGCAAAGGAAATATTACAAGTTATTAAGTACATATATCACAAAACTTAAATTTGGGTTGCTCACAGCAATAGTAAAACCAAAGACAAGAAAACCAGGGACCTGACCCACAATCCTCAATCCATCAAACCATACAATCCTCAGGCTCCAACCTCACCCCTATCCCAGCACTTAGGGGAAAAGCCAACCCTTTATGGCTTTCCAGAGGGCTAAAAGGGTAGGACCCTGCCAGATCCCAGGGGAAAAGATATTCCACAGGGCAGGGGCTGTTACAGAAAAACATGCTTCCTAGGACCCATTAGATTGCAACCTTTAAGAGATGGGACCCAGAACAAACTCACCCTGTCTAGCCTGGTGAAGCATGGAGATAACCTCAGGGAGTGGTGGTCCTACAAATAACCTGGCCCTGTGCCATGTATGGCTTTAGGTAGTAACCACAGCCTTGAATTGCACCAGGAATGAATCTGGGACCCTGTACAACTTGTACAGCAACTATGTAACATGGGTGAACTGAGAGGTGTCCAACACTGTGTGAGCCGCCACATTGTGGACCCAGTTGTAACTTCCAGGTGATCTTCAAGGGCAGTCCCATATAGACCACATTGCAATAGTCCAACCAGGAACTATACAATCTAAGATATTATATAGTTTATTATTTAGCATCTATACTATTCCTTTGAAAATATGGCAAAGGAATAGTATAGACGTTTTGCAAATCATTCAAAGTGGTGCCTCACTCAGTGGCAAATCATCCCTTAGAATCAAAGCTTCAAAGCAGCTACAACTACTCAAAATTTCAGCACAGCGGATTCACAGCCCTCCTTGGGTCTTCTAGGCATTGTCTTGTTACCTTGTGGAATTACTGGTCATGTGTAATTAAACATACAGGTGGAATAACTAGTTGTATTGTCCCACTAATTAACTGCAATAGTAATTACAATTTCTAGAGTTGTTTGAAACCAGCTAAAACAAAATATTATTTGGTAATATGCTTCTAACTACAAAATCTTAATCAGAAATTATGTAAGATTCCCTTGATAGAATAGTATCTTGATCTGAAATATAGAGAAATCAATAACATTAATGACATGCTCCAATCAGAATAATTTTTAAAGTGATAATTCTATGACTAGATTAGACTAGGTTCTGTGATGGAATGGAATTATGAAGGCCAAGCTCAGGGAGATAAACATTTTCTTAGCTCGC